GAGGAATGGGGGGAGAGAGAGAGAGAGAGAGAGAGAGAGAGAGAGAGAGAGAGAGAGAGAGATCCATCAATTGTTTCCCATTTCCTCCTCAACTGGGGATCCAACCAAGATAAAGAAGACATTTTTATGACTGTATGACTGAGTTAAGTCAGCCTTACCCAAAACTAAAAGGTCACTTTTCTTCTTTAACTATGTAATATGTGCAGCAGATACTCTGGCTCTGAGAAAGCAGAAGAATCTCAGGCCTGTCGCTGTGTGACTTTGAAAAAGTGATAGTCTCTTTGTGTCCCTTTTTTTTAATAAAATATTAATAATCATACAGTAATTTTGTGAGGATTAAATGTGGATATACATGTAAAGCACTTGACACAATATCTGGTGTGTAGTAAGTGCATAGCCAATCTTGGTATTATGATTAATATTATCATATTACTTATAATAATAGTATTTCTTTCCATGTACTGTTTTATTTGTGAAATCAAGGACCTAGTTAGATTGAGGAGCTCAAAAAAAGTAAAAAAAAAAAAAAAAAAAAAAAAGACTAACTACCTTCATTCAATCATTCTACACATATTTATTGAGCTTCTGCAAAGTATCTGGACTGACCAACTCCCAGAATCAAATGGGTGCCTTTCTGGGGTATTGGAAGGGAGAGGGTAGAATTGTGGAAAAACAAGTGATGTATAAATTAGTGGGACCAAACTAAGGCCCAAGCCCCAAGGACAGTTAGTATAAATAAAATGAATGTCAATGTCACTGGGCAGCATTAAGTCTTGAAAAATCACATTGATTTTTAACAGGAAGAGACCCCAAGCTTGAAGAACTTTCTTACCCAGAACTGGACCTTTCTTAACCTAGAATGCTAAAGAACAATTCCCCATCTTAAGTGAGCATAAATCTCATCAGAGATTATTTGTTGTGTTTTTGTTCATCATCATAAAAAATCAAAAGATAGAAATCAGTTATGTTGGTAAGAATTATCATCCAAAAGTGAAGTGGAGGTCTATTCAGAAATGCAAGTCTAGTACTGAGCTAAGGGTGAAAATCAAGCCCAGTGAGGAATAGTGAGGATAATTTCCTAATATTTTGAGCAATAAAATGGGAAAGTAAAAACAGCTCTTCAGACTGCCAACCTATATCCCAAGTTGCTCAAGGCAGGCCTTACAGGGAGTGAAGTCAGCAGTGGAAGAGCAGCAGTGAATTATCGGAAAGCCCCCAATTCGTTGAAGTGTCATTATTTGCTGATTGCTTTCCACCAACTACATATCTACTGCCCACAGACAGTGGTTCACTGTGAAATGCCAGAATCATCCTGCTAGAAATACACAAGACTCAGGAAACTGCATATGCATGGACTCCAAATGTCCTGTGGTTTTGTTGTTGATTTTGTTTTTCACCAGATAAAGGGCAAAGGGGAGATGCCTTGTGATCTGTCAGAACTTTGAAGACTATTTACAATCTAATACTTAAGTTATAACACTTTTGTGGATGCTGGAAGAAGGAAGACATCACATACCAGAATCAGAGACAACTGACTTTATTATTCTCAGCAGTAGTGGTAGCCAGAATTTTCCTGCACTAGTTCCTGAAGTACCAATTCTCATAGGGCACAAAGAAAGAGGGCCATATGACTCCTATATAAACATTATAAGAGAGGGATCCTGAGCTTAAGGAACCTGACTCTTTAAGGGCAATCTTTATTGGGCAATAAGCAAGCCCATCTCCTTCTCTGGAGGGATATACTATCTTCATCTTCCAAGATTGTTCACTCTGCAAACATTCTTAAAATGATGGAATGGAATAAAGTCATTTAGTTCTTCTTCTAACAAGACATAGAGAAATGAGACCCATTCTGAGAACTGTCTCTCAATATGACCTTGACTCTGTAGAACATGCTTAAGTGCCTGGTGCCTTATTGGTGGGCATCTTAAATAACTGGATCTACACAGCCCTTTCTGGTTCAAGATGTCATCTAATCTGGACAAACCACAATTGCACATCTCCAAGAACATTCTCCTGATCTTGAAAACCACATACAGGTATTCATTTCATCTTTTTTAAGGTTAGTATAAATCCCTAAAATGTTTGTCTTCTACCATTTCTCATAAGAATTTGGGGATTAATACTGTAAAAGGCTTCTGCAACGTGGAACATCTCTCTTCCACTATTGCTAGAACAGTTTTCAAAAGTATACTCTATACCTAGTATTGGATTTAAGGCTGTCATAGTCCTACTTTATACTCTAAAAGCATTTTAATAATAATGTTCCCTGCATCTGCTACCAGTCCACCCAGACCCTCTAAGGGTGTCAATACCAAATAGTAATAAAGGCATGAGTCTTGACTTTAATGCTTACTAGCTATTGTCTTGGGTCAGACACTTATTCCTCTGTCTTAGTCAACTCACTGTAACTTAAGGATAATAACACTCACTCTTTCTACTTCACACAATTTTTTAAAAAGTCACATCTATGAAAGAAATTTATAATCAAGAAAAAAACCATCCCCTCAGAGACTAGGTCATCATAGCGCATTAGCAAAGTTGTGGGGTAATCAGTCATTTGCAATTGGATTCATGTATTTTTGGGTGTCAAGGGGAAACCTCTTTGCCATCAAAATTTGGCGGGGTGAGGGGGTAGGGAGACTGGGGTGAAAGGGTAGGGAAGGAGAAAACACAATATTATTTCTAGGTCTGAAGTCATTTCCAGATACATAAAAAAGCCAATATTGTACAATAGCAAACATTGGCTTTTGATTAATTTTAGTTGAAAATCAGTGAATAGGAAAAAGATAAACTGTGCTCTCCACTTTTCATTAATATCTTTATAAAGCTGCCTTCTATATGTTTATCTTTTTCGAAGGCATCAATAAGACTACTGTCGGAGTATATATTATTTTTCTCCAGCAGTGTCAGGGTGAATCTACAGGCAGTGCACGGAAGTCTCTAGAACAATCGTTTAAAACCCATCAAAGATGCATGGCAGTTGGTCAAGCAGTTCTCATGCTGCAAATTACAAAGATTTGGATTTAAAAATTCTGCCCTCTGCCTAACTTTCCAGAAATGAAATACCTTATAGACTTTTAATATAGTAAAAAGATAAGGAACATAAACACTGGACAGATAAAAAATGGGAAGCCAGAAAACAGGAGAAAGTGGAGAGGGCAGAGATCTGCTAATGATGCAAATTGTTTTGAAAATGAAAACCAGAATCAGAATAAGAAAGAACTAAAACATGGAACTAATAATCCATTCTCATGGCACTGCATTATTTCCGATAGAAAGAAAACTTGGTCCAGATTATTCCTACTCCCCAGAATTTTACTCTGTTCAGTAATTGTCAAATTTTGACAATAATACCATTTACAGAAAAACAGATTTTCCATTAACATTAAAGTAAAAAGTGTCTCTCAATTCCTTAAGTTCCTTTGACATCTAAATGATTTGCATCAGCAATGGAATTAAGTGTGTCCAAGTATGTTTCCAATAGCATCCAATAGTCCAGAAGAAACGAATTCATAGAGCTCCTAAGTGTGAAGTCTCTTTCTGGAGAAGTGACTTCTGAAGTCAATTTGTGTACTACATGTCTTTTATGCTCTATTCTGTTTTCTCTTCTACCTTAGCTTATTTTGACCTGTTTTCTGGTTTATTAAACCCTAGTGTATTCATCTGGCTGTTCAAAACATCCAAAGTTCTTAAAGTTAAATATTTTATTTTTTCAGTTCAAGAGTATCCATTTGATTAATTTAAACAGATTCCAATCTTCTGTTGAAGTTACCCATCTTTTCATCTCTTTTGTACCTCATTTTCTTGATCTTATCAACCAGCTATTTTAAAGTCCCTATTGGATAACTGTAACATCTGAATTGCCTATGGGTTTATTATTGTCTTTTTCCTCTTGGTTTTCGGTTATTTCTTCCTGTTTTATAGCATGTCTTGTAATTTTTTATTGAATGATGAATAGGATGGAGGCTCTGAATGTTATCTTCCTTCTAAAAAATTAAATATTTTGTGGGGGCTGTTTCTGTTTCCTGTGTCCATACTCCATTACGGAAAAGGAAAACAGTCAGGTTCCTGAGTGGAGGAGCTGGGGATTAAAAAATTAAAGAAAGAAAGAGACCAAGAGGCAGAAATAGATTCACATAGCTGGGCACTAGGTGGGCACCATCTTCTCTGATAGAGAGGCAGCAAGCCCCAAGCCACGCAGCAGGTTTATTTTATTTTATAGGATCAAAGGAGCTTATTTGCATTCTTAACTAGGCCCTAGCATTACTGGATTTACATATCTAGACCAGCCCCTGCTGACACCTGGACAAAGGTAAGTCAGAAACTGAATAACACCCCCAGCCCTCTTGGGGGGGAGGGGGTGTTACCGGACTGCCAGTGCCTCCAGCCCTCTTGTGGGGGGATACGGACTGCCAGTGTCTCCAGCTCAGCTGACAATTTAAAGGATGTCCATGTGCCTTCTCAGGCAGCCCTCTACAATATTTTCTGACATTTAGAAAAATAATATTCTGGTAGACCATCTGATCCTATCCAGGCTCAATGTAATGCTCTATTAGGGCTTGTCGATTTCAGTTTTCCCAGGGTAAAGCACCTACTCTTGGGCTTGACAGACAGTGCCTCCATTGAAAGCCCACTCTTGTTTACCAATGCCCCTCTGCCTTGGCAACTCCTGGGTTTCTCCTTCTCCCCAGCATTATGCAACTACAAATATCCCATTTAGCTATCTGGCCACCCAGATGTCCTTTTGTGCCAGGCATTGGAGAGTCTTTGTCCTTCCTGCGAGCAGATCAGCACTTGAGCAATTTATTTGCAGATATTTGGGCCACTTTGTGGGTTCCTCCTCTGCAGAAATTTCTCCCTCTTGTCCTAGTCACTTTGACCAACGTTTTGTCTTCTTTCTCTTTGGTTCAATAACAACGACACTCTTCTTGATGCATCATTCGCCTGTGTTATGATTTAAAAAATGCTCCCCTCGTAGGAAAAGCCAAGGAGAATTTGTTATAAACTCTTATAAAGTCCTCCTCTATAAAGGATCATAACCCCTCTTATGTCCTATGTTGGTTACTCTCCAATGCCTTCAATGTACTGTCTTACCGATTCTGTTGAGCTTTACACTCATTTACTGCAGAAGGATTTGTCTAATACAAGAGATTCCATTATGGAAACAGAAGCCTTCAATACAAACTTTATTACACAGGATTCTTAAAGAATGAAGTGAGATTTCAGACAGAAACAATCATAGACACATGCAGCAAGACACAGGCATCAAATACCCTCCTTAAGGTTGGTAGATTAGTAAACATGGCTTGTCATAGAATAAGGTTAGGTAGTGTTCACTGCATGGTGGACAGCCCGCTATGACAGAAACAGCCTGATTTACTGTCACAGGCAAGGATAGGCACAATTTAACATCAAGATAGCATACAAATAGGCAAGCACTCTTAGTGGTGCTTTTTGAGGCTAGGTGACCCTCAAAACCCTGAACTCTTAACATGAATAAGGCTTTAAGATGGCAAGGAATCCCTGAGGGAGGCCTAGCAGAGCTGCATGGGTCTCTGGTGCTCCAATTAATTTTCCCTGCCAAAGGAAGTCTTTACTTTGTCCAGATAATGGCTAATCAATCAAGCCCAGTCATGGAGAGGAAATACTCAAGGCTGAAAGCAATTTTGACTAGTTATAGTAAACAGTGACCTTCGCCATCAGTAATTACATAAGGAGACATATTTCTATCAGGACATCTGCAACCCACCACCTTCATACCACCCCTTCAGGTTCCACTGAATTAGACTGAAAGTGATAGATCCCTTTCTCAGCATTATTCAACCTCTCAGTGACCTGGACATCCAAAAGAGGCAGGGACAGCCAGCCCACAGGATTTGTGACTCAGAACAATTAAGGGAATTACCTACTTAATAAAAACTATTTACAAAGAAATAGTCTTTTTTGCTTTAAATATATCAAAATAAAAAATCAATTACCCTGCTTTTCTATAAATATACATGTTATATTTACTGTGGAAAGAGCATTATATAACAGTTAAAATTTAATGTTTAAAGAATCAACATTTTAAACACAAATTTTACTTTCTAGGTAAGCAGCTGCAAGAAGCACAGTACTTATTTATGTGTCTATTTTTATATTTCTCTTATGTTTAAGAGGAAAAGATAGGGTATTTATCAATGTGATATTCCTAGGGCTTAGCATGATGCCTAGCACATAGGAGATGACCAAGAGGTACATAATGAATTAACTGATTAAAGTTTCAAATGGAATTGTACTGGTAAAACGACATGCCCATCATGTTACCAAGTTGAATGGACCTGCTAATCAGTTACAACTATAATAAAGGCAGAGAAGAAAAAGGAATCTAAATTGTTAAAGGTTCTAAATTATAGATTCTTTACTACGACAGACATAGGGTGTAATCAAAAGAGCTGCAGAAGAAACAATATTTGTCTCAGGGCTGGCTCTGCCACTGTTTGTCTGGGAGGGAGTGTCTAAGCAAGGCATACACCGCCTACAGAGTCAGTGTCTGCACCTGTACAAGGAGAGGTGTGTGCACCTGCTCTGCAGAGCCCAGGTTCCACAGGGGTGCTAGGCCCAGCTCTAGTCCCCACCCTCACAACAAGCACAGCAGCTCCTCTTGGCTTCTGTAGAAGATTACATTCGAGCAACAAGGGGCTGTGGTTAGAAGTTTGAAACGCACAAGACCACATGATCCCAAAGATGTTTTCCAACTCCATGAGTCCCTAATTCTCTGAATATGTTTAACCAGATTAGGAAAACAAAAGCTGTCAACTTTTATAATCAGAACCAAAAACGAAACTACTTTCATGCTGCTTAGTTTCTGGCAGATCTTCTAAGACAAATTCCCAAGACTCTGATCAGTTTTAAACTCGCATACCTAATAAATATTTAATGCATGCCTTAAATTTACCCAAAATTTATCACAATGCTTATTTTCTGAGAAGGCCACTTCAAAAAAGACTTCTTAGTCTATTTAACAATTTTTTTTTAGCATAAGGCCTACATTTCAAAGCAAAATAACTTAATTTAGTAACTAAGCTGCTAATTAACCTGGTTTATGAAGTTTTTTCTAATTGAAAATGCTGTCCTCCTGTTTCTCACCTAATGGCCCTTACCGTGAGCTGACACCGTTTTTAAGAGAGATCATAGGAGCACTGAGAAGTGCTCCCCAAAAAGCAAACTCCCAGTTGATGCCCAATTGTTTTAGTATTTTAAATTGGGAGAGCAAAGCTTTCATTTTCCTGTATAACATTCATTATTATTATTAAAGTAACATAATATTGATAATATCTAATGTTTACTACATGCATCAACACTATTCTAAATACTTTAAATGAACTAGGCTTCACTGAGTTCTCACAACAACCCTATGTTTTAAAGGGAAACACTACTCTCACTCTGAGTGAGAGGCAGAACCAGCTTCATCCAGGCGGTCCGACTCCAGAGCCCAGGTTTGGAACCACAGGGCCACATGCCGCTTCTGCATCCACTGAGGGACATCAATGCCGTGGGAATGAAATAAACCAGGATGGTGATAATTACTAAAAGCAACAGTCCTAAACTAGAATTCACTTTACTCCTTTCCATTTATTTTTATTTCCCGCAGAATTTATTTTCCCATAAATTAAATAAGTAAATGTAAATAAAATAGGTAAGTTAATTAATTAAATAAAATAGAATTCAGTAATGAGGAGAGAAAAATAAACAAAATGAAGAACTAAAGTCAGGAAGCCAGCATTTACCAGTTCTGCCACTAACTGGCTATGTGGCTTTAGATAAGTCTTTAAATCTATAATCTAAGACTTAAGGGGGGGGGAAATTCTAATTTTTCTTGCCTAAAAATTCATAGGGAAGTCATGTCAATTGTGTTATTAATGACCAAAACCAGTGTAATAATTTTATTATTAAAGGAATAACTGCAAATAATAGTCATGCTTTAATTTCTATTATATCATCCTACACTGAGCTTTAAAAAAAACTATTCTAAGTTTAAGAATGGTTTCCTCTGGTTCATGGCATTTTTTCTATAGATAAAATTGACAGCATTTCCTGTATGATTCTTCCTCATTACTCTGCAACTTTCTGAAGTTGAACCACATTGAATAAACTTTAGAGAAGCCACATTTAGAAGAAATGGTAATTAGCACACAGTGTTTAAAGTTTATTCATCTTATAGGACAAATGCCTTGCCTTTTGTTTTTATGGGGAAGGGGATGACATAAAATTAAGACACATTTTTTGGGGTATATTTATGTCAAATAAAAATCTAGTTTACAAATGAAAATACTAAATTTTAAGGTGTGATCAGCATGTGATCATGCATTTGTATTTCCACAGCTATTGCTCCTTTCATTCATTCTTACCTTTTTCATGGTGGGAAGTCAGGCTCTTTAGATCACTTCTTCATCCTGTTACCTGAAACCAAAGAAAATAGTGTTATTTTCATGACAAGTTAAAAAGAAAAATCCTATTCCTAAATTTATTAGCTGTGTATTCAAAGTGGCATTGCATTTACCTCACTCTAGACTTGTCCTTATAACAATATCTGTAATCATCTATATAGGTAGAGCTTTTATAACCATTTAGGTTAACTCATCTTTAATCAACTCAGTGAAATGTGTGGGTTAAATATGTCTAACTTTTTCTTTGAGGGTGGGGAAGGAGATAGAAATTTGCCCCCACTTTGCATTTGATTTTTTAGTTTTGGGTTAAACATATGCATCAAGAATTAGTCTACAAATCAAATGAGTATAATATTAAAAGAAAAAAGCCAGCAATTTTAGTTTATTTTTTATTTAATGTTCTAAGTCTTTCTCTCTCTCTCTCTTTCTCTCTCTCCCCCTCTCCCTCTCTCTCTCTCATCACAAAACACTGACCCTATATCATTTTACTCATTTATTTTCTAAGTCAATTGTTAGTTATTTTGATTGATAATAACAATCACCCACCTTCATAACAATCAAGCAGATATACAAGTTTCCACTTGGCTCTCAATGAAAGTGATTTAAAGTCATTTTCTTATTTATATCGGGTTTTTCAAGACAGTTTATATTAACTGAAAATTGGAATAAATATTATGCCTTCATTAACAAATATATTTTAATTAGGCTTTATAAATTTAGGGGGGGAAGCTCAGTCTGAAATTAATGAGGTGATAGATTTTTATCCTGGTATACATTAGACAACTTTATAATTTTTTCCAAGTACACTATACTAGAAAAATTATTTATTTTTCTTATACAAATCAATCAAACAAAATATATGCTTTATGGATGCAATGGTTATTAAAATTTTTAATTTAATTTAATTTAAAAGTTCCTGAATTTGTGCTTTCACCTTCATATTTACATGTAATTCCAATTTTCTGTAATGATCATAAATCTAAAAGGGTAATTTTTTTTCTTTTTAAGAATAACATACATTAGTCAATTATCTAACAATAGATAAGCATTTAAACTCTATAGAAACCATTATGCTTTGTTCTTAATATACCACATTATCTGACATACACTGAGTGGCCAGATTATTATGATCTCTAAAAGCATAATAATCTGGCCACTCAGTGTATATCCTATACAATAAAAGGCTAATATGCAAATTGTTCCCTCGACCAGGAGTTTGACCAGCAGGCAGGCCAGCCAACTGCCCATATCCCCTACCCCTGGCCAGGCTGGCCAGACCCTACCCATGCACGAATTCATGCACTGGGCCTCTAATATATATATACACACACACACTGAGTGGCCAGATTATTATGCGTTCAGAGATCATAATAATCTGGCCACTCAGTGTTTATTGATAGGTTACTCCTCTTTACATTATAAAAGGTGATGTGGTATCTGGTAAAACTAATGAATTTTGGGAGCTAGAGAGGCCTGGTGAGAATCTTGGCTTTGCCACATATTGGAGCCTCCCACCACCTTTCTTCCCCTTTTCTGTAAAAAGAGTAAATTTCATAAACTTGCAGGGTTGTGTGAGGATCCACATTAACCTACTTAATCAGTCTAGCATAGGTCCTCAATAATGGCAGCCACTATTGTTATTAGTAATATACTGTAAGTGAGGGTCCTGTACAAACACCTGTACTATGGCAACTCCCTCTTCCTCCAGAGCATACGATGGTCACAGGGAAGCAGTATGTATGAAGGAGCAGGACCACCCACCAATCACCTGCCCCACCCGAGCTGTGCACTGCCTGGGAGGATGATGTGGTGGAAAGACTGATGGTGGCAGAGTTAGAGGAACTCCCTTCACTTTATGTGAATTATAGCACTTGGAAGACGAGTGGCTTTATTTCTTCCATAAAGCAAAATCTGAACTGAATGATCTCTAAGGCCCCTGTTACCCTGCTCTCACATTCAATGCACACTGTAAAGTTTTAACAGAAACACTAGATCACATAAACCTGTGCCACAATAAAAATAAAAATAAAAAGTATGTCTTCTCACAATTTGAGGAGTTTATCAATGGTAATACACACCTCGTTTTATATTTATATTGTCTTTTTATGACTTTTCAATTTTTATATCTTATTCAACCATCTTTTGTCTCCCAACTGTTATAATGCTAGTGGTTTTTTTGTTTTGTTTTGTTTTTCAGTTAGTTTTCAGAACACAATATTTAAAAGCCAAATTTCTGGCTCAGAACCAGATATCTGACAACACTATCATTAGAATTATATTTGTTCCACAAACACTTACTCAACAAACTTTCATCAAGCGACATCTATAAACAAGGAATTAGGCTTGGTACTAGGGAAATAAAGGTGAATGACTCAATTCTGCTCTTATGGAGCTCTGTCTGGTAAGGAACACAGTTAAATCACCATATAGTTAGACAAAGGATAAGTACCCACCCCAGTCTGGAATGCCAAAAAAGTAAGTGACAAGTGAGCTGAGAGTTGAAGAATGAGTAAGAGCTGGCTAGCCTATACAAAGGCATGAAACTCTTGCTAAAATCACTATGAGACTAATAGTCCTCACAGTAGACACAGGGTTCAGTGAATGCACCCATTACTGAGTGATTCAGTGTAAGAATTTGTCAGATAGCATGGCCAAGTAATATTCACTTTAGCCATTTTTGTTCCCCAATCATACAAACACTTTTATACTTTATAGTTATTGAACATCCATTGTGTGTAAAACATCCTAGTAGGAGTCATGGAGAGGCATAGAAAGAAAAAATATATAATCTCTGTCCTGAAGAAAGATGCATTAATTCAACAAATATTCATTGTGCTTTCGGTTTTTCTTCCATATGCCTGGCCCTTTGCAATTTGCAGAGAAGAAAAAAACAAAAAACAAAACAGATATAGTTTATTAAAGCAAGAGGAGAACAGAAGCATAATGATTTCAGCATTACTAATTTTTAGTTTTGAGGCTATCTTAATTTTACCCTCTAAATCTATAAATGTCTTTTAGCATTCTCTAAGCCCTGCAAACCATTATAAAGTAAAATGTATATGTTCTGAAAGAATAGAGGACTAAAATTATAAGTATGTATTCAACATTATAGGTGAGAAAAAGCTTAAGATCTTGGTTCCTACTCTGCAGTCTCTTATTCAAACTTTCCAATTCATCCCCTTATTGGTCTGGATCAAAGCAGCCCATCTACTCTCTTCCATATATGCCACAGCATTCACAAAGTCAAGACGGTTCATACCATTTATTTCTAAATTTTAAGGTTTAAAATGCTCTTGCTGCTCCTTGTCCTTTAATTAAGCTTATGACCATAAAATTCATATTGATTACTTCTCCCTCCTCTTCACTCACAAAACACTTAGCACTATATCCCTCCATACCCATTGACAGTTGACAAAAACCTCTAGAGCCTCATAGTGTGTAGCTCTATCACAATCTGTGCCTCAAGGTTCCTCCAAAGTTCTAATTCCAGGGTCATGAATGTTACATCACACCAATTCTCCAGAGTTTTCAATGTTGGGAAAACTGTTACAATAATGGTTTAATACAAGTCCATATAGGTCGTTCTGTAGATAGATCACCACCTCCTTGTAAGCAAAAATGAGGTAGCATTTACTATTCCACTATTTAGCACCCTATTAGAAATAAAGCCAAAGCTCAAAATATTTGTGAACTATTTGTTTCATTGAGAGGGAGACAACAAAAAATGACTGACTTTTCATTTAAGGCATCTGAATAGATGTATTAAAAGTTTCACACTAAAATCTTATGTTTAAGGTTAGGCAACTTGGACAATTGCATTACCTTCTAAAATTACAACTTTTCCTAAATACCTATTGATGTTACTATCCAAATTTCTAGAGAATTATTTTAATAAATTATTTCCTTGAATAACATAAACACTATTTTCTCTAATATTCTGAAAAATATGAACTTACCAGGTATGGATGCATGAGCCTCAGAAATTTTATTTATAATAAATAAGTACAAAAAGCTTACCTATAAATTGATATAAACATAATATAAATCATCATAGTTCCTAAGACCTTAGTAATTATGCAACTTGAGCTAAATATAGAATATTTTAAATTTCAAGCTTGTTCTCAAACTTTACATAAATAATTCATTCAATGGTGGATTTATTTGTATTTGATGCTGTGAAAGGTTATTCACAAATACTCAGCTTCCAAGAAATACCTTAAATTACTTAGAAACTGCCGAAACCGGTTTGGCTCAATGGATAGAGCGTCGGTCTGTGGACTGAAAGGTCCCGGGTTCGATTCTGGTCAAGGGCATGTACATTGGTTGAGGGCACATCCCCGGTAGGGGGGGTGCAGGAGGCGGCTGGTCGATGTTTCTCTCTCATCGATGTTTCTAGCTCTCTATCCCTCTCCCTTCCTTTCTCTAAAAAATCAATAAAAGATATATATATATATATATATATATATATATATATATATATATATATAATTTTTTTTAATTACTTAGAAACTTTTTCTAAAAGGAAGCAATTTTCCAGTTAGTTCCCCTGTGATCTTTGATATCTTTACATCAAAGGGATTTCTTTGCCATCAACATTTCAAAATGTTAGAACTTTTAGAAAGCCTTTGCCCCAGAAGCCATAAAAATGTTATCGTTTTCTATGTATTCCATTATAGTTTTTTTTAATAAAAAATACTTTCACAGTAGTGAAGTCATCCACCAGGCCTCTACTTAATATTATAAAATTTTTGCAGCTATCTATTATATAAAAAGCCTGTGGTCATCACATCATTATGCCATTAACAACCGATGAGCAGGAGGCTGAATGTGTGGGGTTGACAGGGCTGTGTGTGTGGCGAGGCACGTGCGGGTGGGTGGACACTTGACTCTGGAGCACTGGACCAGAGCCATGGGTAGATTTCTGGGTCCCTCCGAGCCACAGGACTCTGGATCCTGGATCTCACATGATTTTGCGCACTGGGCCCCTAGTTAAGTATAATTGTATTATTCAAAGAGATATTTCATTTTCCATTTGTCCAGTTGCCTACATTTTGGAGTTGTATTGTTTAGCTATTGAATTTCATAAGGTTAAATGTTCCCATATGTACACATGGGTTTAGTACCATCTATGGTGTGAAGCTGTATCACCTTCCTATATTCAAGCCA